TTGCAAATTACATGCAGCATAGATCAGGGGTTTAGGAGCTTTCCCTGGTTTCTGCTGATATCAGGATAACCATTGCTTAACATCCTCACTGGCCTGACAGGTGATGGTGACTGTGTCTCCTACAGACACAGACAAGGACAATGGAGTCTGAGGCATCTGGATGTCACATCTGGCACCTGAAATCCGAAGTGTAACAAATATCAGTACAATTAATTAGGACAAACCAGGACCTCTCTGAAAGGCCAGGCAGTGCTGAACACAGGAGGTTGAGTAAATTCCCAGTGCTGTCCCTCCTTACCTGGGAGCCAAAGCAGCAGGAGCCCCAGGAGCTGAGTGGGGAACCTCATGTCCATGCTGTGTCCTGACTGGGACTGACTCTTTCACAGGGTGTGAGCAGCCTATGAAGAAGTCCTCGTGGCAGGGGACTGTACTCTGGGCACATGCAAATCAGCTGGTGCTGGATGGTGCAAGGCTCAGCTGCGGGGCTGGCTCCTCTCACTGCAGGCCAGCTGTGCTCTGGACTCCCTGTAAAGACCAAGGTGGCACAGATTTCCTGCAGAGAATGTGTTTCTCCCTTGGGGCACAGACAGAACCAGGCTGGTCTCCCATGTGTGAGTGAACTATTGTTCTCTGTAGTTCAGAACACACTTTGCTTGTGCTCCTTAAACACACTTCTGTGTTAAGGACCCTTGGAGAAGCAGCAATTAAGGGGAAAAAGGGGGCCATTTCAGGCTTGGGCTATAGAAAGGGAATTGAAAGCGGGAAGGGAGTAGAATTTATACATTCTTTCAACATGTTAAGGTTTCTCCACACTATGGGTTTTCATCCTTCATGTTTCAGAAACAAATCCATGAATATATGTTTTCCTGTCACCCCAGGAAGTGCTGTTCTAAGCCCTATCCAGTTTCTTGCATGTATTTCTTTTTTCAGGATAAGTTAGAATCATCATTGACACCAATAAAGAAACTGTAGAAATTATTAAATCCATAAGCAGAAGTCTGGATTTTTAAGAATTTAGGATCTGTGGATCAGCTTGGAGACAGCAGAAAGAACACAAATTCTATATTTCTACTTTCTCACTGAATATACACAGACTTTTAATGATGGTCTCAATGCCTCATGTTCTGTAAAGGGCTACTCAAAGTGTCTCTAGGCCTCAAGGATTTTCATAAGAGCTTCAAGAAGAAATTATGGCAAAGTGTTTCTCTTCCCCTCTTTGTAGATGTATGAAAATCTTTCCCAGTTACCTGTCCATCTTCTTCAATTTTCTTATATCTCACTTCTGAGATGGTAACATGGGCCTCCACATCCTGCTCATGCCCTAGGCTGGAAGAGGCTCATCTGTGTTTACGGTGTGCAACAGATTAGAGCCAGTGCTTAATAAAATAAAGAGGGGATGGCTGTTGTGCACATGTTATATTTTTTAAATCCTTTTAAAAATTTCCCTGGGCCTCTAACTTATATTGAATGGAAAAGAGAGATCTGAATGAAAACTATCTGATGAGTTTGGAACCAACAGGACTCAGGATGACAATGGAAATGAATCCTACTTCTCCAGGTGGCAATGCTGGCTTTAGGAAGTGTGGATAGAACAGGCCTGTGAATTCAAGGGCAGTACAGCTTTCAGACATTGGATTAAACTGGAGAGGTTTGTAACTGGGGTCTCAACCCAGGGCTGAGGTCAGGCTTGTTGTGCTGAGGGCTGCTGGGCTTTGGCCCTGGGCTGTGGGAACCTGGGGGCAACCAGAGGCCCTGCCCATGGCACTGCCTGGGTGGAATTCAGAGAAAGGAAAGTGCTCAACCCCTCTGGGTGCTGACCAAGCTGAGAGTCCCCCAGAGGAGGGAACCATGAGAAACCAGGACCTCATACTGATTACTCTCAGGATGAGCAGAGGCCAAGAAGAAATTCAGCAAATGCCCCATTCTGAGAGTCTTGACTCAGTTGTCATTTGTGCTGCTTAGAACCATTAAGAGCATGTGTTAAACAAATAAATATGTATATTATTTATCTGTTGTGCGCATGTAATGCATTAATTATAGTGTGCATTTAATGTAGTAATAATTCTTATTACTTGTGTAGCATATTATTATAAATTCTGGCAAACTGAACATGAAAAGAAGAATGCTCAGTGTATGGAGCATCACCTGAACCTGCCCCACTGCTGAGTCTCAGCAGCATCAGACTCCCAGCTGAGGATCCACTCTCAACCCTTGTGGACCTAGCAGTGACCTTTGCTCATTGCTGAGGACTTCAGGCAACTTCAGGCAACAGCAGGGAACAGGTCTGAAATCACAGCCCCTCTCCCTGCCCAGCTTCCCCTCTCCTATGGGAATCCACTAGTGCATCTCCTCTGCATCTCTGAATGGGGATGTCTTCTGTGGGCTCTGTTTCCCACTTCAGATGTGGGAGTTATTCTCTCACCCATCCTGTGCTAATGCTCACCCAGAGTTCATAGTGTGACTATCTTCCAGGAAAAGTCATCATAGCCAGGTGTATTTCCTGTATTGACAAAGTAAAATAGAAAATATTTAGGAACTGGCAAGTGGGGGAGATGTGGCTCATTGTCCCAGAGTCCCTGCAGCCAGGTGACCTTAGAGAGTCCCTCAGAGAACACCCTACCTTAGTGGCTTGCTAGTGGGAAAGTATCACTTGTGCAGGCCCAGTGTTGCTAGGATGAGGTCTCTGTGCTTTGTGCATTGTGGGGTCAGTTTGCCATCTAATGGAAGATTCATTACATAGCAACCCTTTTGCTTTGGGGCCCCAATGTCTATATAGAATCTTTTCACCCATATTCATGAAGCTGGTCCTATTCTGCCCATTACCAGGCAAGAGTATATAGAAAAATTTAAATGATTCTTCTAAAGAAATCATCCAACTATTAAGGACAAAAGACTAACAGTTTGCATGGAGTTCTGAAAAGATAATGAGCACCAGAAAGTTAACTCTAGGTATGAGACCACATGAAATGACACAGATGCAAATTTGGCAGAGTAAGGGGCCTCTAACACCTTGCCAGGTGGTGTGCTAGGCAGTGTTGGGAGTGTGAGATCTCTTACTCCAGGTCTGTGAATCCTTCCCCATCCTTGCCATCCATAAAACTGCTTGAGCAGCCTGTGAGAACCACAGTAGGTACCTTGCTTGCACACTTGGAAGCTGTTCAGTGTTGTAGTTGTGGCAGCTGAGACATGGGAAGGTCCCAGGAGTGCTGGGCTCCTGTCAGTCCCCCTCCACCTCTCCCTCCCCAGCTTCTGCACAGGATGTGAGGAAGGGATTGCAGCTAGCCTTGGGACTCAGGCAGATCCCGGATTCCAAAAACATATCCTTCTTTAAGGACTGCCAGGATCATCAGATTTATGTGTGACAGTTTAACATCTCTCAGGCAATGACTGCTTGAATTTTTATTGAAAACAGTGAACTTCAAGCATAAAACAGCACAACACAACTATGGAACACTGAAGTCTAAACCTGTGGCTGTCCCACACCACTGCATCCAGCTGGGATGTGCTACAGCCAAGGTAGACACAGCGCGTGGCTGAATCTGTGGAATCTTGCCTGGTTGTGGTGCTGAAAGGAAAGTGATGGTGACCCTCTCTCTGGGAGACACTGAAAGGATAGCTAGAGCTTGGAGACCACAATTTTATTACTAGAAGATAAAGGTAAAAACAAGATAGATTTGTTTCAGAATTAATGATGTCCCAACCCATGGTCCTTCCAGAAAGAGTCATGCAGAGGGATCAAGTGGGTGGTGCATGCTGTGCACACTGATCAAGGCCTCAACTCCTGGGACATGTGAGCACTGTCATGTGAATCTATCCATACTCCCCTGTTTCAGCTCCAGCCAGACCCCCAGATTCCTAAGTGGATCAATGTCCCCATGACCATGTCAACTGCTACACCTTCCTCAGGTAGATTCCTGTCCTGAAATAGTGACCAAACTCAGCTAAGGGCTCCTGAGAGGCAGAGGCTTTGGGGAGCTTGTAGAACAGGAAGCAGTGCACAGCAGGGCCTGCGGGTTCTGAACAGAGGGCAATGTTTATGTCATGAGTGTGGCTAGGACCACATGTTTGCTGAAACTTATTAGGAAAATTTCCACTCTTAAGAAAATAAAATCACAAGGATCTAATTTTTATATTACTGATGGACTTTAGTACTACTTATGAATAGAAATATTTTTTTTCAGTAAACATTTAATGGATTCAGTGAAGTTTCCTGGTGTTTGCAGGCCCATGATGGTTTCCTTGGTCCTTGAAGGGTGGATTACTCAGTACATTTTGTTATTAGTGTTTAAAAAGTTCCCATGCTGCAAATTCCAGGGTTCTGTCATTCTGTAAAATGAAAAAAATATAGAAACACTGAATCATAATTTACTTACAGGCAATGGGGGAAAAGACAAAAAACAGGCAGCATACAGAGTATTTTGAGGGCAGTGAAATAACATTGTCTCATGCCAGAATGTTGGATCATGTCATCACATAATTGTTTATTCTGGTGAAACATACAACATGGAGAGTGAACATCAATGTGAACAGTGCACTTTGGGTGTAACTTGACACTGATTGACTGTAACACAATTGTAATTGGCTGTTGATGATAGAGACTATGTATCTGTGGAGTTGAGTATAAGGGACACTTCTGCACTTTAAATTTTGTTGTGAACTTACATCTACCCTGAAAATGACATGTCTTTAAAAATTCTTGCTTGGAACACATGGAATGTTTTCTCTGATGCTGTGTGAATGCAAAATTACCCCATAACCTAAGTGTGCCAGGACATCTTGTGTCCTCCATTGAATCAGCTCAGGCACTGTGATGTCAGTGCCCCAGGAGCTGAGGAGGAGGAAAGGGAGTTAGGGTGCAGAACAGCCTCCCTCCACCCTCTACCAATCCCTCCCAGTGAAGCTAAAGCCAGGCTTCATCTGAGCAATGCTCTCAGCAGGTGGTGACTGCAGGGGTGGCAGCTGGGGCACCCCAGGCTCACACTTCTGCTTCCCTGGGAGGTTTATGTTATGGCTTGTATCACTGTGGGAGGGTAGCTATTATACTGTTGACAGTAATATGTTCCTGCATCTTCAGCCTCGACACTGTTGATTGTGAGAGTGAAATCTGTCCCAGATCCACTGCCACTGAACCTCTGTGGGACCCCAGATGCTAAGCTAGATGCATAATAGATCAGAAGTTTAGGAGCTTTCCCTGGTTTCTGTTGATACCAATTTAAATATTTGCTTATGCCCTGACTCGCCCGACAGGAGATGGTGACAGTGTCTCCTATGGATGGCGACAGAGAAGATGGAGACTGGGTCATCTGGATGTCACATCTGGCACCTGAGATTAGAAACATAACAAATATCAACACAATCATGATAAAATAGGGCTTCCTAGAAGAGCTTGCCACTCTGACTAAACTAAGTGGAATAAATTCCCAGTTCAATCGTTCCTCACCTTGGATCCAGAGCAGCAGGAACCCCAGCAGATGAGTGGGGACCCTCATGTCCATGCTATGTGCTGACTTGGCCTGATTTCTGCACAGGGTGTGAGCAGCAGCCTCTTAAGAAGTCTTCAAGCAGCTGGCTGTGCTCTGGGCACATGCAAATCAGCAGGGGCTGGTCAAGGAGATGAGTAATATTTACATGTTATCTTTTTATGGGCCCTTTTAAAAATATATACATCCCTGAGTTTGTAACTTATATTGGACGGAGAAAAGAAATCTAAAGAAATAATTTATCTACTGTGTTAGAAACAAGCAGGACTCAGAGGAAAGCAATGAAGCAAGTCCTCCTTTTCCAAGTGCTAAGTGTGGTTTCAAGAAATGAGGAGGTGTAGCCAGTGAACTGAAGATCTTAAAAGATTTTCAAGCACTGGAATAAATGGGAGAGGATTGGAAAAGGGGTGTAAAGGCTGAAGTCTGGCTTGCAGTGCTGAGAGCTGCTGGGCTCTAACCCTGGGCTGTGGAGGAGGTGGCTGCTCTTCTGGCTCATGGGGCTGAGGACCTGGGGGACCACAGACCCTGTCCATGGCTTTTCCTGCCAGTGGATTAGAGGAAGAAAAATCCTCAGCACCTCTTGCTGAAAACTAAGCTGAGAGTGGCCAGGAGAAGGGACACTGTGAAAGTTCTCAGCTCTGTTCCCTAAAGGAAAATTATCACTTCTGCAGTCCCAGTGTTGCTAGGATGAAGTTTCTGTGTTTTGTTTATTGTGGGGTTTGCTTGTCATCTAATAGGAGATTTGTAACATAGAAGCTATTTGGTTTGGGGCCCTAAGGCCTGGACTGAACCTCTTCACCTGTATTCATGAAGCTGATCCTTTTCTACCCATTACCAGGCAAGATTCTGTAGAAAATGCAAATGATTCCTCTTAATAGATCATCCAAGTATTAAGAACAAAAGACTAAGAGTTCACCTAGAGTTCTAAAAAGGTAATGGTCACAGGGCAGTGCACACTACATAATGACCAACATGATATGACAAAGATAGAGATTTCACAAAGACCACAGGGCCCTGAAGCCCCTGCAGGAAGTGTTTGTGCACTCAGGGATCATGGTATAAATCTGTAAAGCCAGCCCATCCTCCCTATCCCAGATCCCTTCCAGAGCAGCCTGTGCGAACCCAGGAGCTCCCCTGCTTGCACACTCAGCAGTCTTTCAGTGGTTGCAGCTGTGGTAGCTGAGACTTGGGAAGGTCTCAGAAGTGCTGGCTCCTGAAAGTCACCCTCCTCCTCTCCCTTCCTAGCCTCTGCACAGGGTGTGAGGAAGGGATCATAGCTAGCCTTCGGACCCAGGTGGATCCCTGCTGCCACCAACACCTCCTTCCCTTAGAGACCACCAGAATCACCAGATTCATGTCTCAGATTTTAACATCTCTCAGGCAACAATTGCTTTGACTTTATATTGAAGACAACAAACTTGAAAGATAGAAATATAATATTGCAGCTAAGAGACAGAGCAGTCGGTATTCATTGGGAGCCCAGTTTCTGGTACTTTGGTGACTCTGTTATTACAAGTGTTGTTCACAGTATCACAAATGATAAGTCATTTCAGAAAATACCCAAGGACATTGATGCAGTCCAAACAGAATGAGGAGGTGATCTTACATAAAGCTCACAGCCAAAGGAACCCTCTCAGAAGAGCATACTTTGAGATAGATGTTTGTGTTCAAGTTGATGATGGTAAAATAACTAAATATTATTCAGGTTTCTTCCTGACTTTTAGCATTTTCAATTGTTGGTTTTAAAAGGCTATATAGTTTAGTTACTTAGACATTTAGATCTGTATCTCTTGCCTGCAGTCATTCAGTATCACTGCATTACTATCACAGGGATCTTGATAAAGTTTTATATTTCAAATGCAATTATATTTTTATCTAAAATGATATAAACTTTTGTATTTTTTAAATATTCAAGTTTTAGTTGTTTTATTGTATTTAGTTAGAGCTTTGTCACTGAGTTGACATGTATTTCTCTTAAAATATTATGAACAAAAAAGCCAGGAATCCATTGTTTCATATTTACTGCTTATTCTGAGATTGCTCTCTCAGGTAATAAACACAACTACAAATATATTATTCTGAGGAAGGATATTTCTGAGTCACAGGTCAAGAAAAGTTTCCTAAATTTATGTGGTTTTTTTGTTGTTTTGGGGGGGTGTTTTGTTTTGTTTTGTTTTGTTTTTTTGGTATGGGAGATGGAACTCGGGTCCTTGTGCTTTCAAGGCAGGTGGTAGAACCACTAAGCTAAATCCTTGGCCCCCTAAATTTATGTTGTAACGAGCCATTAACCCTGTATCAAGATGAAAAGAAAACAAAAGTAACCTCATACTTCCTTATTTCCTCATTGCAGGAAAACTTCTAGTTAAGATAATTCCCTCTCTTTGCTCTTCTTCCTCTTCTTAATCACATCAACTTGTAATATACAGACAACACTGAGATTATGGATTGAGTGGAGAAATGCTGTCCGATAACCCTCAGTCCACACACACCTCTAAGGTGTACTCCAAGAAGGGATGGTGTTGTAAACTCTTTTTATAACACATTAACATTGTTAAATGAAAGGTTGCCTCCTTAGATTTATTTTCACAGGGCATTTCCTGAGATAAATATTGGTTCAGTATGGGGGAAAATGAAGCAAAACAGCTGGACAGCCAAGAGAATATCTGGGACCCCAGGCCTGGAGTACAGGTTGGTGAGGTTTCTGCTCTGGCTGTAACACCATGAGTGACTTTTGTAATTTGAACAGTGATGACCAAAATGATTTTCTAACATGATGTAAATGTGTGTATTTGTGTTGATCAGTAGGCTGGCCATGTGGCATATATACTTGGTCAGCACTAGAAATGTACATAGTGTAATCAAGGAACTAAGCTTTTAATTCTAATTTAGTTTTGTCTAGCAATGTACTTTTGACATTTACCTGTGACACAGCACAGGTTTAGATGGGGATGGTCAGTAATATCTCTAGGAACAGCAAGCTGCTAAGCATTAACCAAGGGTCTGTCCCATACACTGCAGCAGGCTCGGATGCACTACAGCCAGGGTAGACACCGCATGTGGCTGGATCTAGTTTTAAAGTGATGTAGGAATTGTAAAAGTCTTGCTTGGAATACATACAAGGGCTTCTCTGATGGTGTTTGAATCCAAAATTTTGCCATCACCCAAATTGTGCGGGCCACTCAAGTGTGTCTGCATTACATCAGGACAGGAACTGTGATGTGTGTGCTGCCGGAGCTGAGAAGGAGAAAGGATTGTTAGGGAGCAGAGAAGCCTCCCTCCATCCTTCTACTGAAACCTCCCAGCTACCATCACAGCTTGGCTGCATCTGGGAAATGTGCTCATCAGGTGGCAACACTAGAAAGAGCAGCTGGGGCAGCCCAGCCTCACACTTCTGCCTCCCTGGGTGCTTTATGTCATGGTTTGTATCACTGTCTGAGGCCAACTGCTACCCTGTTCACAGTAATAAGTTGCACCATCTTCAGCCTCCATATCACTGATGGTGAGAGAAAAATGTGCCCAGATCCACTGCCACTGTATCTTGATGGGACCCTGGATGGCAAGTTGATTGCATCATAGATCAGGAGCTTAAGAGCTTTCCCCAGTTTCTGCTGATACCAGTGTAAGTACTTTCTAACATCTCCACTGGCCTGACAAGTGATGGTGACTGTGTCTCCTAAGGATGCAGGTAAGAAGCTTGGAGACTGAGTCATGTGCATGGGACATTTGTCACCTGATAATGGAAACATATCAAAGATCAACAAAAGTAATCATGAAAAAACAGGACCTGCCTGAAGGGCAGGCAGTACTAACCACATTGTCATGAGTATATCCCCAATGCTGCTCCTCTTGACCTGGGATCAGGAGCAGCAGGAACCTCAGGAGCTGAGTGGGGGCCTTCATGTCCATGCTGTGTCCTGACTGGGACTGACTCCTGCACAGTCTGGCAGCCCCCTGAATGCTACAGGGCAGTGTGCTGTGCCCTGGGCGCATACAAACCCCCAGGGGCTGGGCACAGCTGTAGGGCTGGCTCCTCTCAGTATACTTCTAGTGTCCCCTGGTGTCCCTCTCCAGACCAGCTTGGCATAGATTTGCATTTAGAAAACATGTTTCTCCCCTGGGTACAGGAGAGAATCAGGCTGCTCTCCCATGGGTAGAGTGAGCTATTGTTCTTTTCACACTTCAGAGCACCCTTTGCTTGAGTTCCTTAACCACTGTTCTATGTTAAGAGCCCTTGGAGAAGGAGGAATTTAGCAAAACAAGGGGCTGCTTCAGGCACAGGATAAAAAAGAAGGAACTGAAGACAGGAAGTGAGTAGAATTTATGAACCATTTGAACTTGCCTGGGTTCCTCTACATAGCATCACAGCATGACTAAGATGGCAGGGGAGGACACAAGCAATTATGGTTTCTAGTCCTACATGTCTGAGGCCCCCACACAACACACACAGAAGCACATGATTTTTCCTGTCTCCTAACAAAGAGCAGTTCTAAGTCTCACCCAGGTCCTTGCTCTTAATTTGGTTTTCAGGATACCTTTGAATCACTTTAGACAGCAATAGAAGAAACTGTGGCAATTATTAAAATCATAAAGGGAAGTCTGAATTTTAAAGAACTCGGGATTGGTGCAACAACTTAGAGACAAAAGAAAAGCTTCAAATTCTTTACTCCTGCTTTGCCATACAGAATCTTCAATGTTGGTCCTAATGCCTCATGGTCTCAAGAGAGCTGCAGTGTCTCCAAATCTCAAGTATTCTCATAACTGTTTCAGGAAGAAATTCAGGCAGTTTTCACCTGCTCTATTTTGAAATCTTTCCCAGTTCTTGTCCATCCTCTTGATTCCTCTTATTTCTCACTTCTAAGGTGGTTGAATGGGCCTCCAAATCCCTGTTCCTGCCCCAGGCTGGAAGAGGCTCATCTTTGTTTACCATACACAGCAGGTCAGGGCCTGAGCTTAATAAAAGGAAAGAAAGGGAATGACTCTTGTGAACACGTGAAATTTTTAAAAGACCCTTTTAAAAATTTCCCTGTGCCTATAACTTCCACTGAATGGAGAAGAGAAATCCAAAGGAAAACTTTATCTGCTGGCATTGGCACAAGCAGGACTCAAGATGACAATGGAGATCGAGCTTACTTCTCTAGATGGTGATTCTGGCTTCAGGAAGTGTGGAAAGGGCCTGCAAATTCAAGGCCAGTACAGCTTACAGGCACTGGCATGAAATGGAGAGACTGGAACAGGGGTCTCAAATCAGGGCTGAGGTCAGGCTTGCTGTCCTGAGCGCTGCTGGGCTCTGGCCCTGGACTGTGGGGACCTGGTAGGGACCAAAGGCCCTGCCCATGGTGCTGGCTGGCAGGGGATCCAGGGAAGGAAAGTACTCAACACCTCTGGGTGCTGACCAAGCTGAGAGACCCCCAGAGGAGGGAACCATGAGAGACCAGGACCTCAGAACTGGGCCTGGCTCTGTGGGCTGACTGTTCCCAGTATGGGCAGAGGCTAAGAAGAAATTCAGCAAATCCCCCATTTCCAGAGTCTTGATTCACTTGGCATTTGTTCTGCTTAGAACCATTAAGTGCATGTGTTACACAAATGAATGTGTATATTATTTATCTCTTCTGTGCATATAATGTATTAACTATAGTGTTAGTTTAATATAGTAATCATAATTTTTATTATCAGTGTACCATATTATTGTAAATTCTGGCAAATTGAACATGAACAGAAGAAAGCTCAGTGGGTGCATCATCACCTGAACCTGCCGCACTGCAGAGTCTGAGCAGCATGAAGTTCAGGATCGACACTCAGCCAATGTGGACAAAGCAGTGACCTATGCTTAGTGCTGAGGACTCAAGGGAATGACAAAGGAACAGGTCTGAAATCACAGCCCCTCTCCTTTCCCAGCTTCCCCTCTCCTATGGGAATCCACTAGTGCATCTCCTCTGCATCCGTGAATGGGAATGGCTTCTGTGGGCTCTGTTTCCCACTTCAGTTGTGGTAGTAATGATCTCATCTATGCTGTGACAATGCTTGCTAGAGATTGGAGTGTGAGGATCTTCCAGGAAAGGTCATCATGGCCAGGTGAATTTCCAATCACAAAGCAAAATAGGAAATACTAAGGAACTGGCAGGTGGGAGAGACATGGCCCATCCTGCCCAAGTCTCCACAGCCCTGTGAGTCCTGAGAGCTGGGCAGAGAGCTCCTGCCTTAGTGGCTCCCTAAAGGGAGGTTAGCCAGATGTATTATTCAATATTTTTCATAATTGTGTTCCATAATTCAGTGTATTTTTATATCAGTGTTTGAAAAGCTCCCATGCTGTAAATTTCAGGGTTTTGTCATTCTGCAAAGTGGAAAACTATAGGGATGCTGAATCATGAATGACTTATAGGATATGGGGTCAAAGACAAAGAACAAGTAGAATATAGAGTATTTTTAGGGCAGTGGAACATTTTGAGATGCCAGGATGTTGTATTATGTCATCCTATATTTGTTTATGCTGTTGAAAACTATGGACAACTTGAGAGTAAACCTCAATGTGAACTGTGGACTTTGGTGTAATTTGATATTGATTGACTGCAAAAAAAATTGTAATTTGCTGTTGATGATAGAGACTTTGTATCTGTGGAGGTGGGTATAAGGGACACTTCTGCACCAGAAATTTTGTTGTGAAATTACTTTTACTCTGAAAATGATGTAAATCTTTAAACATAGAAGAAAAACATAGAAGAGTTTCTCTTATGCTGTGTGAATCCAAAATGATGCCATTACGCCCAGTGCTCAGTGACATTCTTGCTGTCCTCCATTGAAACAGGGCAGGCACTGTAATGTCAGTCCCCAAGGAGCTGAGGAGGAGGAAAGGGAGTTAGGGTGCAGAGGATCCACCCTCCACCCTCTACCAAATGCTCCCAGTGAAGCTAAAGCCAGGCTTCATCTGAGCAATACTCTCAGCAGGTGGAGACAGCAGGGATGGCAGCTGGGGCAACCCAGGATCACACTTCTAGTTCCCTGGGAGGTTTATGTTATGACTTGTATCACTGTGGGAGGGTAACTCTGATGCTGCTGACAATAATAAGTTCCAACATCTTCAGCCTCCACACTGTTGATGGTGAGAGTGTAATCTGTCCCAGATCCACTGCCACTGAACCTCTGTGGGACCCCAGATTCTAAGCTAGATGCATAATAGATCAGAAGTTTAGGAGCTTTCCCTGGTTTCTGTTGATACCAAGCTAAATATTTGTTTATGTCCTGACTCGCCTGACAAGAGATGGTGACAGTGTCTCCTATGGATGCCGAAAGAGAAGATGGAGACTGGGTCATCTGGATGTCACATCTGGCACCTGAGATTAGAAACATAACAAATATCAACATAATCATGATAAAATAGGGCCTCCTTGAAGAGCTGGTCACTCTGACCACGCTAAATAGAGTAAATTCCTAGTTCAATATTTCCTTACCTTGGACCCAGAGCAGCAGGAGCCCCAGGAGCTGAGTGGGGGCCCTCATGTCCATGCTGTATCCTGACTGGGACTGACTGCTGCACAGGGTGTGACCAGTAGCCTCTTAAGAAATACTCCAGCAGCTGGCTGTGCTCTAGGCAAATGCAAATCAGCAGGGACTAGGCAGGGCTGGGTGCATCTGCAGGGCTGGCTGCTCTCAGTATAGGCCAAGGGTTCTCTGTGGTCCCTGTCCAGACTAGGGCTCCACAGATTTCCTAAAGAGAACCTGTTTCTCCCTTAAGCCACAGGGCAGATTCAGGCTGCTCACCCAAGAGTACAGTGAACTATTGTTCTCTTTATGGTTCAGAACAAGATTTGCATTGGTGAATACAGATGGGTTATTTGGGTTCTGTCCCCTATATCTCTGAATTCACAAGGACATTTCATCCCTGTTTCCCTCATGGCTGTCCACATTCATAGTTGTACCACTTGTTTTCTTACCCATACTACCTCATTACTGACCCAGAGTTCAGACTCTAAGAATCCTCCTTGAAGGAACATCAGACAGTGTTATGGTTTCCTTCTAGATGTCCCCCCAAAGCCTCATGAGGTCATAGGTGGATTTTCCAGAGGTGGCTGAATTCAGAGAGTGTGGTGCTGGGATGAAGGGTGTGTGATTACTAAATCAGTGCACTGATTGCTTTGGCACGACCCTAATCCCAGTAGGCTGATACAGTATTTGCTTGCTTGCTTTTGCTGTCCTCTGCTTCCCATAAACTTGTCCTCTGAGATGCCCCTCTGCCAAGCCTCCCTGCCTTTGAGCCAGCTGATCATGGATTTAAACCTCTACATATTGTGAGCTAAATATACCTTTCCCCCTTTAACTTTGGCTGTATATTGTCTCAGCAAGGAAAGAAAAGTAACTAATACAGTCAGGGTGCATTATCAATCACAAAGTAAGAGGAAATACTAAGGTACTGGCAGGTAGGGCAGACATGGCCTATTTTGGACAGAGTCCCTGCAGGCATGTGAGCTTAGAGAGCTGCACAGAGAGTGTGCTGCCTTTTGGCTCCCTTGATCACTTGTGCAGTCCCAGTGTTCCAAGGATGAGGCCTCTGTGCTTTGTTTACTGTGGGTTTGTTTGCCATCTAATGGAAGATTTGTAACATTGAACCTTTTTGATTTAGGGCCCCAATATCTAGACTGAATCTTTCCCCATATTCAGAAACCTAGTCCTGTTCTACCCATTACTAGGCAGGATTCTGTGGACAATTCAAGTGATTCCTCTTCTTAAATAATCATCCAATTATTAAGGACATAAAATTAACAGTTCACCTGGAATTCTGAAAAGGTACTGGGCACAGTTCAATTATGGTCCAGATATGTGGCCACATGAAATGACAAAGATGTATTTTTGGGAAAGAGTAGGGGGCAGAACACCCTGCAGGGATGTGCCCTGCAGTGCTAGGAAATGTTGGGAGGCTGAGAGTTCCCAGTCCAGACCTGCAAACACAGTCCCATTCTTCCCACCCCAGAAGCCCTTCCAGAGCAGCCTATGGGAGTACCATTTAGTATTTTGTAATGTCATAATTTATTTCTTCATGTTCCGATGATGACTTGGGCAGTTTCATCTCAGGCTGGTATGAATGAAACTAGTTGGACAAGTCTTATACGAGATGCTGCATGAAATGGTGTTTTTAAGGACCTTACTGAAAGTTCTGAGGGTTGCAACTATTGGATAAGATAGGAAAGACTTAAAACTCTGCCAAACTGTTCTGCTCAGAGATCATAAAGCCTTCATTTCCAACAGGAATTGAGAGAGCCTTGGGTTCTCCCAGTATTTGTGTCTTTTTTATAAGGTTTCACTTAACTGACATTTGATAACAACCAAAACAGCTAGATTTCATTAAGCCATTTATTGTCATTTATTAACTACCATTTTCATGCCATGTTTGTGTGCTTGACCCATTTTAGAATTTATTCTCATGAATACAGCCCATTGAAAAAATAGAAGCTAGTAGAGAAGAAATGAACAATTACTGCAAAGTAGGGGTCAATTAGAATTTCATATCAGTGGGATGAGAAAGCAAGGAATGAAGTATAGAGAAAGGATGGTCCTGTGTATAAATTTGAGATTTTTATGGGAAAAAATAGTGCAGAGCTTGAAGAATGTGTCCTTACAGTGTCTCATATGTCCTTTTCTGCTGCCTTCACAGTTGGAAAAAATAAAAAACAGTCTAGTGGCCCTGTGTTAACCAAGCCATGTCCTATTGTCTTCCAGAAGATTTCACTCTCTTGCTCACACTGGGCTGAGATGTGGTGATTATGGAAGGTGTTCAAGTGCCAAGTCCTGGAGCCACATAGGAAGATGTGAAAATAAAGAGAGGAGATATTTTTCAGCATGAAATGAAATCACCTCTACTTCTTCTCAATGCTTAGGAACCAGATCAGTGAGAGCAAAGCTACCAAGCTGAGGGATTCCAAAGGGGCAGAGAAGGCCACGACCAGGTTCAGTGCAACAAGTGGTTCTGAGTGACATAAAGGAACACTGACATTTCTAGTGTTGCACCTGCAAAAATAGACAATAATAGGAGCACCAGAATTTAAAAATTCCTCACTACACTTTAAAATTTGTGTAGAATCATAGCATTCAGTCCAAGCAAGTCAGAATTTTTCTGGTAACTTCAAAGCCACAGTCAGTAGTATGAAAGCCCCTATTTCAACACTTTACTAACCCAGGATATACAGGATAATAACACAGGAGAGAAAGGAAGTCTTGGTAGTGGCCAGGTGTATCATTCAATATTTTTCATTATTGTGTTCCATAATTCAGTGTATTTTATTAGTAGTATTTGAAAACCACCCATGCTGTAATTCCAGGACTTTGTCATTCTGCAAAGTCAGAAACTCTAGGAACACTGAATCATGAACGTCTCACAGGAAATGGGGGAAAAGACAAAGAACAGGTAGAGTATAGAGTATGTTTAGGGCAGTGAAATTCTGTTCCTCCAGTTGTAGGATTATTTCATCATATATTTGTTTTTGCTAGTGAAATGTAAAAACAGGGAGAGTGAACCTCAATGTGAACTATGGAATTTGGGTGCAATTTGATATTGATTGACTGCACCAAAATTGTAATTAGATATTAATGATAGAGACAATGTGTTTGTAGAATCAGGTATAAGGGACATTTTTGCCCTATAAATTTTGTTGTGAACTTACATCTACTTTGAAAATGATATGTCTTTAATAATTCTTGCTTGGAACCCATGGAAGGGCTGCCCTGATGCTGTGTGAATCCAAAATGATGGCATAACCCACACTGCTCAGGGACACTCTTTTTTTTATTAAGTTTATTGGTACATTTTAGGGGTACAGTACAGTTACATTCATCATAGGGAACTTGTACCTTTAAAGGATGTATCTTGATTCTTATTTTTTTCCCCAATCCCCTGCCTTTCCTTCAACCCCTTCAACCCTCCCTATTTACAAAGACTTTATTTCCATTTTTTCCTTTGCTCATATTTTTTCTTTTCCCTTCTTTCCTTTCCTCTAGCCCTCTCACTTCCACTATTCCTTTAGACTTTTTCTTCCTATTTCACATTATCAATTATACATTTTGATCCTTATTTACACTTTTAATTTTTCACACCAGAGAAACTATTCAGTATTTACACATGTGTGTCCTATTTATTTCACTTAAGATTATGTCCTAAATGTGTATCCATTTAACTATAAATGTCTCTAGTTTCTCATTCTTTATGGCTGAGTAGTACTCTATTTTATAAAAAAAAATCTTTATCTAATCTCCAGTTGATGGACAATTGGGGTATTTTCAAGTTTTAGCTATTACAAACTGAGCCACTGTAAACATGGGTGCACATATATCTCTGTAGTATGATTCTTTTAATTCTTTTGTGATGATACCCAGCAGAGAAATAGCTGGGTCAAATGAGACCCCTAATCTTAGTTTTTTGAGGCATCTCCATATTGATTTCCATGGTGGTTGCACCAATCTGTACTCCCACCAAGAATGGAGAAAGGTTCCTTTCTCCCCACAACCCTGACAGCATTTGTTATTCATTGATTTCTTGATAGCAGCCACTCTTTCAAGGATGAGGTGGAATCTCAGTGTTGTTTTCATCTGCATCTCTCTAATGACCAGTGATGTTGAACATTTTTTCATATGTTTATTTGCTCCTTTTATTTCTTTGTCTAAGAAATATCTGTTCATATCAGATGCTGATTTTTGAATTAGGTCTTTATATTAGGGTGTCTGATATTTTTAAAGTTCTTTATGTGTTCTAGATAGTAGTCCTTTGTCTGAGGAACAGCTGATAAAATTTTTTCTACATTGTAGGTTGTCTCTTAGCTCAAGAGTTCTAACTTATCTTCCAGCAAGTTTAGTGTTTCTGTTTTAATATTTAGATCTTTAATCCACTTGGATTTTAGTTTAATGCATGGTGAAATGTAGGGGTCTAGTTTTAATCTTTGGCAAGTTGAAATCCAGTATTTCTGACACCATTTATTAAAAAAGCTATCTTCCCTGTACAAGCACCCAATGATAAATGAAAACATATTGTATACCTAATGAATTTAAACAACAAAAAAAGGCTATCTTCCCTCCAGTGAGTATGGTTGGTTCCTTTGTCAAAGATGAGGTGGCTGAGTATGTCTGGAGTTGTTTGTGCATCTTCTAATCTGTTCCACTGGTCCTCGGGTCTGTTTCTTTGCCAGTACCATGCTGGTTTTTTCTATCACAGTGGCTTTGTAGTATAGTTTCAAGTTGAGGGCTGTGACACCCTCAGGGATACTCTTGGTGTTCTTCATTGAATCAGGACAGGGATTTTGATGTGGGGACCATGGGAGCTGAAGAGGAGGAAAGGGAGTTAGGGTGCAGAGCAGTCTCCCTGTACCCTCTACTAAACCCTCGCAGTGAAGCCAAAGCCAGGCTTTATCTGAGCCATGCTCTCACCAGTTGAAGACAGCAGGGGTGGCAGCTGAGCTCACACTTCTACTTCCCTGAGTGGTTTATGTTATGCCTTGTATCATTGTGGGAGGGAGTGTATCATACTGTTGACAGTAATAAGTTCCAACATCTTCAGCCTCCACACTGTTGATGGTGAGAGTGTAATCTGCCCCAGATCCACTGCCACTGAACCTCTGTGGGACCTCAGATGCTAAGCTAGATGCATAATAGATCAGAAGTTTAAGAGCTTTCCCTGGTTTCTGTGATACCAAGCTAAATGTTTGTTTATGCCCTGACTCACCCAACAAGAGATGGTGACAGTGTCTCCTATGGATGCTGAAAGAG